CTGTAAAATGAGCTAAAGAAAGAAATGGCAAACTATCTTCGCCAAGAAAACTCCTAATGGGGTGCAACTGAACAATAACAAAGTACAGGTTGAATTCCCCCAGTAGAATGTACGCAGGGCCTGTGCTTCATTTTGTCCTTGTGTCCCAAGGACACAAGTGTCCAGCACTCTACCATGTCACAGGAGATGCTTAATTAATGCTGGTTGAGCTGAATTGAATTATCTAATAGAGAGCTTTCAACTGTATTTTATTTCTCACCCAGTAGTTCCCAATTGCTCAGCCGCTGTCTAATATATCTGAATGATGAGAAAGTCAGTCTCTCTCTGTAATAGAAAGAATAGGGTATGTTCTGAAAGACCTGGATTCAAATCCTGCCTCTGACATTTACTAGACTTGTCATGGTGAGAAAGTCATTTGCTGCCTCTGGGCCTCAGGTTGCTCTCCTGTAAAATTAGGAAGTGGGCTAGACAATCTCTGGGGTCCTTTCTAGCTCCAGGTCTGTGACGCTGTGACAGTAGGACAGCCTCACAGAGTTGTTTCTGTAAGGATGAGTTACAAAGCACTTTATCAACCTTCAAGTTCTATAGAAATTTCAGCTTTTATTATTATTACTTGTTTTCCCCTCCCTCCTCCCCATGTACATGTTCTCACTTTTTCCTTAGGGAAACCTCATACCCGTCTCACAGCTATTATAAAATTTTCTATTTTAAGAAAATAGACAAAAGGCAATACTGAATCAGTCAGTAAACATTTATTAAGCACCTACTAAGTGCCAGGCCTTGTGGGGATACAAAGAAAGGCAAAATACAGACTTTGTAGAAGGAGGCAGCAGAATTCTTGGGAGAGAGTATGGGAGTTGGGAGGTAGGCCCTGAGCTGAGGTAGGCCCGTCGCCATTTCTGTAAGAGCAGGCAGCCACACCTCAGCAGTGAGCGGAGTGGCGCAGGCCAAGGCCTGCACTTGGCCAGAACTGGCCCAACAGTTGTGAGTTTCAGAATAAAAGACTCTGGTGTGTCCACATCATTTCGCTTCCTCTCCCTCAAAATGAGCATTGTTAAATATTCCACATCTTCAGCTCTAAATTTAGGCTCTTTTTTTCCCCCCAGGCTAAGGTTACTACGAAAACATTCAGAAAAGAGTTTTGCCCAAAGTAATTTTTCCCCTCCTTCTTTTTGGTTTCCTACAATGTTTAGATGACTCATTCTCTTCCAAGAAGTTTTAAAAAGAAAAGAGATGCATGTTGTGTGATAGCACACAAAGACAGTTCTGTTTATTCTCCTCCTTTCTTCCCTGCCCAATATCCCCTTGCTTTTTTTTTTTTAATAGGGAAGGAAAAGGGCTTTGCAGCATCCATTGTGTTATATACAAGGCTTCAGCAGGTTTTGTTGGGAGGGGGGATGGGCAATAAATACCCCTCTTGTCTTTGGGTGGGGTCCCCTTGCAACTTCTTTTTCAGACCCTCAGCTATGACCAACACAGAAGCCTGACTCCAGAACTAGGAGGGGGGAGCTGCTGGTGGTTCCCCCCAAATGTACATATCTAAGATTTTTGTTCTAGCAAACTGCAGGGCCCTCCCTTTATCATCTGAGAAGCAAGAGGCTTTGGCTGCTTCCTCCTTGTGTTAGAATTGCTCCCCCACTACTGCAGGCTTGCTTTTCCCCGGGTTAGAGTTACCTAAGCATCCCTCAGCCCAGCTCTGTAACTATTCTGTGGGGGACTGAGGAAGGAGAGCAGTAAGACATGGTTGCTCTAGCAGTCTGTTCACATGAACAGGAATCATCTTGGGGAAGGTTCTTCCCCCAAGTAGCCTGGACACAAAGGGAAACATCTACCCAGGCTTCACTGAGATTTTATTGATTCCACTTTTTTTTTTCCTCCTTTCTTTCTTTCCCTCTACTGTCCTGCTTAATTATGTGAACCACAGACTCGAATAACAGGATAGAAGGAACAGGAGCCTTTTCCTGTGACGCCTGCTGTAAAAAAAGGAGATGGCAAGAGGTGGCTGGGACGTTGGCAGGGGCAGCTGCCCACGAGGCTGGGAGAGTGATAGGGTGGGAAGTGATACTTGTGGTTCATGTCCTGACCCTGCCTCTGACTCTGTGGCTGCAGATGGATGAGTCACTTGACCTAGCTTCCCTTCCTCAGGCTGGAGATAACGATGTTTGTGGAGTACATCAAGATTCATAGTCTAGGTAGGGCTTTAAAGTGTACCAAGAGCTTTACACACCTTATCTCATTTGCCTTCACCACAGCCCTCTGAGGTAGGTGTTGTTCTCATCCCTACTTACAGATGGGGAAACTGAGGATCAGAGAGGTTAAGTGTTTGGCCCAGGGTCACAAAGCATATAAGCATTTGAGGAGGGATTTAAACCCAGGGCTTTCTAACTCCTCCAGCACTTGGATCTGCCATGCCAGGACTTCTCATAGATATGAGACATCTAGTTATGTGGCTTATTCTAGTGATTGAGACCCTTGGAAGAATGATAGAAACAATAGAAATGCAAGCCTGAAAAGACCTTCCTGAGCCCTTCCCACTTGACAAGCAAAGGAAACTTGTTTGTTACCTCCCACTACAGTGTTGAGAAGTAAATCAGTTGATAAAGCAACATTGACTAGTGAATCCTGGCAGCAGATCATACAGAGTCATTGAATTTTAGATCTGGAAGAGGTCTTTGTCCAGCCTCCCTTGCAGATGGAAAAACTGAGTGGTTAAAAGACTTATGCCAAAGCACATTCACAGTCAGCCGCAGAGCTGGGTCCCGTAGCTGGTAGGTGTCCTGGGCAAGATGCAAACCAAGGGCCCCTCCTAACTGCTGGTCTCACACTCTTTTTATTACACCATGTGATGCCTCCTTTCTAATGCCATTTGAAAAGAACGCTCTACCTAATGAATAAAGGAAGTTAGGGTCATGACTTGCCATGTTCCTGGCTCACAGGGCAGCTCCCTCTGCCAGGAGCATCCTCTGTCTGGGAGCTAAGCTATGCTGAGAGTGTGCTGGGTAATATTTAACTGTCAGTGGGAGAGGCACTGTTAGGATCTGGGGTTTCTCTCTGTGTGTATATGTGTTTGTTTGTGTTTGTGTTTTGTTTTGTTTTTTTAAGAAAAATAAGAAGCCGGCAGAACAGATGAATTGAGGACTTTTCCCTTCACTGGACCTATTAATACAATGCCAACCTGTCTCATCTCCTGCTCCCCTGAATTTGGCATTAAACACTCAGTACAGAAAGTGTGGTTTTTACTTCCTTCCTTTTCTCCCTTTCCCTCTCTCCCTCTCTCCCTTCTCTTTTCCCTCCCTTTTCCCCCCTCTCTTTCTTCTCCTCTCTCTCCCTTCTTCTCTCCCTTTCCCCCCCCCCCCCCCTTTCTTTCATGTTCTTCTTTTATAAATGCCCATATAGAAAAGTTCTGATACAAAAGCTACCTTCTACATAATCAAGTGCTTCCCTAGTATGTTGGAAGACTAAATGAAGAAGAGATGAGAGTTGTAAGTGGAAAATCTTGTAGTAATGTGGTACAAGAACTCTAGACCTGATTTTCGTGGTCTGCTGCCATCTTGGATCTGAAAGATTGATCGCCATCTGAAAGGAGAATGTAATTTGGTATGCAAGGATTCCTAGTTGGCTTCTTTCTGTCTGAATGGGACATAAGGCCTTAAGCTCTCTTCCTCTCCTCCTTTTCCTGAAAAACACTAGCAATGGAAACTGACATATATGACTAATGACTTACAAGGCTTTTCTTTTTTTTTTTTTCCCAAAGAAGACACTATAGCCAGATAGCACTAAGCCCTGGAGAAATTCAGCAAATAGTTGGATATGATCTGCAATTCAGGAAAGCTTGAGTTTGGCATGGTCATTAATAAGGTTGAAAAAGTCTGATCAATACAAAATAGAGTTTTATTAATCTGTATCACCCAGGGATACCTACCATTTCTATAGTGAGTAGATGCTTGTATGACCTTCAGCAAAGTGCTGAAACTCCCTAGGCTTCCATCTTTCCTCTTCTGAACCATGAAAGGCTTCAACTACATGATCTAGGTCCCTCCTAGCTCTGAATCATTTGTACTATCCCTTAGGATCAAATATATTACATGTTGGGAAAGTGTGTGTGTGTGTGTGTGTGTGTGTGTGTGTGTGTGTGTGTGTGTGTATGCTTTGCAAACCTTAAAAGTGCTGTATAAACGTTAACCATTATTATTACTAGTATTGAGTGACAAGACATTGGAAAGAACTGTGCAGGGATGTAGTGTGGCAATAACCAGGGCTTATGATCTGCTGTAGGTCATGAGCAATATGTGGGGACTCCCAAACTCATACAGTCTTATGTGAGCCCATATGCCAGTCATTACTTTTTGAGATCTTGCTGTTGGCAGTCTCATACTGAGAACTGAGCTGAAACCAAGCAAATAGATATGACCCTGTTTCCCAAGGACTTTTCCTAGCTGGTTTGGGGTGCTTGGAAGCTGTTTGAGAAGAGGGATTGTTTCATATTTGGATACTGTCTGGTGTGTTACTGGGCACTTAGTAAATGTTGTTAATGGATTGATTGGTTAATGGATTAATGGTTAATTTGAAATCCTCATGTGTTTATATGTTCCTTAGAACATATAGAGTCCATCCCTATCCTGCTTCTCTCACCAGGCCTCTGGAATGCTCCCCAGTGTAGGGCAGGGAGAGCTAGTCCCGCCTAACAGTAGTTCTGGGTAGGATGTGGCTCTCAGCCTGGCTCCCCAGGGACCAGCTGAAAAATCAGAGGCTGCAACCCATTTCCCCTCCACTCTTATCACCTCTGCCCTGCTCTGGATAAGGGTGCATTTCATTTTATTAAAACTCCTTGAGTAATCTGACCATAATTGGGTCTGATCGGAGTGGTTATCTGATTTGCTAGGTTAAATAATGGGCCTTAATTGAGTCTGGGTTATTTGTAGAGCCTGCATTGCTCTTCCTTTTGTTGCCAGCCCCCTCCCCCCACTTCCCAATTAACCTGAGTTTTTCTTTCATTGCAGAGCAAAGAAGTCGGCCAGCAGCTCCAGGATGATTTGATGAAGGTCTTGAACGAGCTGTATTCGGTAAATCAAGCGGGTTTTTTGGCCCTTTGTCAAGCAGAAGGAAGCAGCCTTTGGCAGCTTGCTGCTGCAGTCATGTCCCAGCATCAGAATTGATCGTGGCCTCAGGGGTTGGGGTTGAGGACATATTCCCCATTGGGCATATATAACGCCACCCTTCTCCCTCTCCTGGTTCTCATTTCCAATCTTGATTGAGCAAAAGATCACCTCCTAATCCACCTCCCCATTTTCATCACAAGATCCCTTACCCACAGTCAGTCCTGGCAATGACTCTATTTGGGGAGAGGGAGATAGGAGGATGGTTTTTAGAGTCAAGCTGGGACCTCCAGGACCCAGGGGATAACAAATACATCCCGACGACAATTGACCTTGTTCACAGCAAACTAGATCCCCTGGGTTTAATGGGATATATCCCGAGCTGCATTGCACCATCATCATGTTCTGGTTGGGGAGTTTCATTACAAGATCTCAAATGGAACTGCAAGTTGGAGACTAGGCAGACTTCTGCAGAAGGAGGCTAAGACCCTGGTCAGCCCTTAATGTGAGGGGCCAGTTACAGAGAGAGAGCTTTGCACACTCAAGGCAGGAGTCTCAGTGAAGAGACCTGTTGCCAGTCAGGAAAACAGAAGACAGTCTGTTCCGAAGTGACATCTACTTAAGCTGTGATGCCTGTTGCTAATACATGTTCCTGCATGCCCAGGGAGGTCGTGTCACTGTGCATGCATGCGTGTATATATGTGTGTGTGTGTGTGTATGTGTGTGTGTGTGTGTGTGTGTGTGTGTGTGTGTCTCCTCCCAAGCTGTGTTTCATTAATTATTGTTTTATCATCATTGTTTAGTTATTGTAAAACACACAGGCACACCAAAACACACACCAAAACCAAAATCACTGTTGTTGTGCAGACAACATCTTAATTGCAGGGCAGGTTCCTGAATCCTGAGCATGGCTCTTTTCCAGAGATCCCTTCTTCAGACAGGCTGTGCCCATGCTCTGAGTCAGTCCTTGAGGTTGCCCCATCCTGATTTGGGAGGGGATTGGTTTTCCAGATTTACTTGTTTATTTGTTATGCTTTCTTTATCCTCCATAGAAAGCACAAGGAAAACATGAGTGGCTGCATTTGGGTTCAGAATGCCTTGTTTGGTCATGGGCATTTCATAAATGTTTGTTGAAATGAATATGTTGAATCAGGATTCTATTTCTTCATCTAAGAATATAGGTGTGGGCTCTTAGGCTATTATGATGGATGGCAACTGCTCAGCCAGGAAATATGGTAATGTAGTCAGCAGATGTAGCCCCGCTGCTGTTCCTTGGGCTTTGGATCTTTTCCCCACTTGATGCTGTGTGGACTCAGCTGCCTGGAAGCCCAACAGATAGAGACAGTCTCCTTGGATTATAGGTTTAGATGCTGAGTCCCCTTTCCTCTCAACTGAAATTAAGGCTAGTTTTTGGTTTTTTGGCTTTTTGCTTCTTGGAGTTTTTTTGTTTTTGTTTTTAAATAGAAGCATGTTGATGTGAACCATTTTCAGACTGGGTGAATTTCCTGGACCTTTTGTCTGTTTAGCTCCTTACTTCTGCCTTTATTTTTAGAGTGTCTTCTAGGCACTAAGAAGAGCTATTACTCCTTCCTCCTGGCAAAGTACTTGCTAAGATAGAAAACAGTACATTTGCTCAGTAGCTGAGCCCTTAAAAAAAATCATTTAAAATATCTTTATTCAGCAACCCTGGGAATCTCTTGACTTGCCACTCACTCTAGGCAAGAGCACTTGGATGGCTGGTAGAAAAAGCCTTCAGTTTTCATTTCGGGATGCCAGCTCAGGGCTGCTAGGACAGGCAGTTGAGGAAAATGAGCATCCAAACTCTGTTGACCTTGCCCCGTGGGTCCATGGCTTCTTATGGGAGATGATGAAGAGACTTGTTTAAGTTGGGATTTTCTTTTGGCAAGAGGTGGGGGAAAGGGTGTAAGTGGAACTTGAGCTGAAGTGAGGAGAAGCCTGAGTTTTGCCACTTGGGTTTAGGGAGAAACTTTCTGGCCTCTTGCTCTTCTGTCTCTCTTCTCTCCAGCCTTAGCCAGCTGTTTTTTTGGCTGTTGGGAAGACCAGATGTTTTCGTGCAAATTATGGAGCCCAGCCACTCATCCTAAAAATGAGAGCCAGTTGGGTGTAGTGCTCTCCTGAACCAGATGCAGATTGTTCTAGCCTGCTGTGGGCCAAAATCAGAAATTTCCCTAAGAGCTAGCTGAGAAGCCCACAAGCTTTCCTGAGAGGTTGAGGGACCAGAGGGATGGGACACCTGATAGGAACTGGGAGACCTGAGTTCTAACCTTGTCATTACCCTCTAACTGTTCAGTAACCCTGGGAGAGTCACCTAAGGCCCCAGGCATCACTTTCTCCAGCTGGACAATGGGAGGACCAGAGGGGAGCAGTCAACCTTCCTTAAGAATCTGAACTAACGAATGGCATCGTCCTTTAGAAATTTTAAAGAAAAGAGGCTTGTTTTCTCCCAAGGATAGGAATGGGTTTGGGACTGGCCCATCCCAGCCATACGAGATAATAATTGTCTAAAGTTGAGAAGCTGGGATTCCAGCCATGCTGCAGTCACATCCCCTCAGAGGATAAGCAAGGAAAGAGGAGCTGAAGGATCCATGGGACAAATGCTCCTCCCCATTCTTTTTCAAGGAGGGGGAGGGAGGGTACTGGAGTTTCAAATTTCAGTGATGGTCTTAGCCAAAGGACTTAGTTTATAGGGATAAACAGTTGAAAAAATAAAACTGGGAAGAGTAATTACAGTCCTGGGTATCCAGAGACCTGGGCTCTAATTCTGGCCCAATCTGGAGTTGGTCATGTGCCCTCCCTGGGCCTCCATTTCCCCACATGTAAGAACCAGATATTTCTGAGGTCCAGTTCAGTTCTTACAGCCTCTGAGGCTCTGATTGAAGCAATCTAATATATCTCAGGGTCTGTAGCTGCTACTTACAAATTGGGCTTCTCCCTGAAGGAGGTTCGTTAAAATATCTGTGTGCACAGTGATGTGGGAAGAGACTGGCATTTTTTATTCCCAAGGAGAGAGAGGTTGGGGCTGGAGGCACTGGCTTTAGAACGCCCCGCTTTCTATGTCTGGGTTTTGCTCTGTGTCTTCTCCTTTATGGACAAAGAAGCATTTTCTGTGGATGCAGTATTTGGTGTCAGATGCCACCTTCCAAGCCCTACTGTTTTAAGCCTCTCCAGAGAATATTCTTCTCTATATGCCTTTTCCTCCAAATGAACTGATCAGTCCTTCTACTTTAGCGTAAGTGGTTTTCATTTTCTGAGTGATTTTCCAAGAACGCCTTTGAAGTCAAAGCTCCTTGCTCCCCTGGGGAGACCCCAAGGTATTCACTGCCTCAGTCACCATGCCGAAGGGCAGATCTTTAAAGTCGAGTTGCCAGGCAAGTCCCTTAAAGGCCCTTAGCTTGAGAGCTCGAATACCAGAATTGTTGGTTGAGTTTAAGGATCTGTGAAGAGAAGGCCCCGGAGTTCAAAAAGAAAGAGATGTTGGAGAGAAGACCGCCATGCTGGCCAGGCCAATTGTTGCACTAGGGATTAAGGGTGAGATGGTGGGGGGGGGGGGCCGTTATGTTCGTATTTCTCTGAACTGTGTTGAATTAGCTCCAACTGGTTTAGGGTAGTATCTCTGTTTATAGAGCTATTGGTATGTTCTTTAGCCTGCTGGGCTTCATCTCTCAAGGCAGGTTGGCACCTTCTCAGCAACCAGGGCATTGGGAGGTCAATGGACTTGCCCACAGTCTCACAGCCAGGATGTGTCAAAGGCCGGACTCAAACCCAGGTCTTTCTGGTTTGGGGACCAGGTCTCTAACTGTTAATCCATGATGCTTCCTTCCCTCACACCCCATCCCCCTTACTTTAAATTTTGTAGTTCATTATCTCTGTACGTGTTTCCTTTAAGTCAACGTAAGAGTCCTTTATAGGCCAGGTAAGACTGTTGGGTTTTTGTCTTTATAGAGACCTCAGTCAGTGATTACAAATGTCTATGGACTCTGATAGTGCTTGATTCGTCTGGGAGAGATGTGAATCTAGGTCTGAAGTCACAAACTTCTCTAAGCCTGGTTTCACAGTGTATGCAGGGATGGTGGGGACGCTGGCCCCGAGTCTCAGTCACTGACTTACTTTGGGGCCACCCTACCTTTCTAGGCCTTTTTTCTTCTCTTCAGTTCAGGCTCACAAGCATTTCTAAAGGATCTGTGCCTGTGCCAGCCACTGAGGTAGGCACTGGAGATAGTAAAAATTACAGTCACATTTATTTGGTACTTTAAAGTTTGCAAAGTACTTTAATAAGTATCTCCTTTTATCTTCATAACAACCCTGGGAGGTGGAGGCTGTTATCTCCATTTTACAGATGGGAAACCTAAGACAGGCAGGGGTTAAGTGACTTGCCCAGGATTACAGAGCTAGTAATTACTGAGGCTGGATTTGAACTCAGCTCTTCCTGACTCCAGACCCACTGCACCACCCATATAGTCCTATGAATGAAACATTCATGAATTATTACCTGCAAGGATCTCACATTCTACTGATGGGAAATAAGTGAACATAAAATGTATGTCCAATAAATATTAGGGTGAATTAGGGTGCAGAGTAGTAAAAGAGAGCCTCAGAGCGAGGAAGACCTGGGTTCAAGTCCCGCCTCTGACAAAACCTGGCATTGTGACCCTGGGCAAGTCACCCCTCTGGGCAGCTCTTGATGGTGCAGAAAAGGTGTGGACCTGCATTCACAGAAGGAATTTCTGGACCTGGGAGTTCCCTGTGCCACTGACATCCCAGGTCTTATCTCTCTCCTCATCCCTAGCAAGTGGGAAAAGGTAGAAGGAGGCTGGTGGATCTGGGAGGCTTGGAGGGGCCGGGGTCTTTCTGAGAGGCAGAGGGGAGGAGGGAGAGAGTTCCAGGCTGAGAGACCATCAGGGGCCTGCCATGTCCCAGGAATGTCGGGAAAGCCCGCATGTCCTAAACACAGGGTCTGTGTCAGGTGCAGTCCTGCAGGGTGCAGATCCTACTGCATGACCTTGGATTACCCTCTCAGTTTCCTCATCTGTGAAATGGCTGATGCTGGGGGGAGGGGGAGAGGGTGGCTTGGACTCCATGGCCTCTCAGGTCTCTTCTGCCTTGCATTCTGTGATCTCATGATCCTCCAAGTCCTAGATACCCTTGACTTTCTACAGCCGTCTGATAAATGCCTCTCTTCCCGTTCTAGTCTGCTGTGAGTCTTGGAGGGCTATATAAATTATTCAAAAAGTCTTTTTAATACTGCTAGGCTTTCTGGTATTTAAATATAGCTTCTTCTGTAACAGAGCCGACTGTCTCCACTGCTTCATGAGCAAAGAATAGCTCGTGCACTTAAGGAAAGTGGTGCAAAAGTTCAGAATGAGGTGAAGCCAACATTAGAACATCATGCATCAGAAATGAGATGTAACCTGCATCTTGAGGTGCTTTCAGGCCTCATCTCGGCAGCCTCCCGGGCCCCAGGTGTCCTCTGACTAGTCTATTCTATTCTCTAGACATATGGGAAGGGCCACAATACCTGCTCGTTGGAGCCCACCGATGAGTCCTTTTCTAGATGTCCCCCAGACCTAGGTCCCTCAGTGTTGCCCCAGCCAGTGTATCTTTCAGTTCCTGACATCCAGTGGCTTCTGCCCTCTTCCTGATCCATAGATGCCTGGTGAGGTCTCCTGGAATGTGAGCCCTCCCCTTCGACGCGGACTTTGAGGAGGTCACCTGGCTCTCCTCTGACATAAACCTCGATTGCCCTACGTCTCCCCATCATAGCTCTTCTATTTTATATTCTTAGGGTCTCCCCTCTCTTCTCTTTTCTACCTCTTTATTCTCAGCCATAGTCAGACCACATCAGACTCCATCGCCTTTGAGCATCAGATTACAGATTTATCATTCCTCCTCCACTAATTCCTGCATATGATTCCTCCAACAATTCTGGCTTCCAAGAAGAAGGAAGCTGTGGAGGCAGTGTAGTGTAATGGGAAGAGAGCCATACTCAGAGGCATTCTGGTAAATGTTTAACAACCGGCTTAGGGGGGAGGGGGGAACTGTACACAGTACACATTGGCAAGTTTAATCATCATTATTAACATATTTTCTCCATCACTTTATTAAGTCTAGACATTCAATAGAACAATCAAGCCCTTATTTGTAACTTGTTGATTTCTGAGGCGTATTGCTCACAACAAAAATTTAACAATCCACTCCCACTGGTTCAGGCTAATTCCAGCATACGCCTGACTTCACCAGACTAGAAATCATAAGAGCTGATGGAACGGTCTCCAAGGTCCCTTCTAGCTTTTAAGATTGTAAAAAAATAGTTCTCGCCCACGATGCACCAGTTATCAAGGGAAGGGTGTGTGACCTTCAACCTCTCCGTTTCCTCTGCTGTAAAACGAGGGGGTTGGACTTCGGCTGCATGGTCCCTGAGGTTCTTTCCAGCTTTAACAAGCTACGAGTCTAAACTGTGACTGTCTGGAGGCAGGAAGTCCCAGAAGGGAAGATCCTCTGCGTGGCTCTAGGTAGCAACATGTTTGGGAGGATATGAAATCAGCGCTGAGCCTCGGCCTGCGGACTCCTAGGCTTCCTAGCGTCTTTGAAAAGGAGAAGGGTGCGGCCTTCGCAGTCCTGGGCGGTTGCCGTGATGCAAAGTTGTCTCCTTCCTCCGTCCCCCCCCC